TAATCTAAAAAGATCTATTTAATTTAAAACTAATATATTAGATTTTAGAATAGTTAGAATATTTTTATAACTAGATAACTAAAGAATATAGTACTTTATTATATTCTAGTCTAAAAAATTCTTATCTATAGAATAAAATTATATAATATTAGATTAAGAACTATTTATAATTATCTATTTCTTTAAATACTAATATTAATATTTTAAAGAAAGCTAATACTAAATTAAAGTTTTAACTAATTATTATAATTTAAAACTCTTTATAAACTAACTAAAGATTAATAGAAAATAGATATATTAGTATCTCTTTCTTATCTCTTTTAATTTTATAATATATTACTACTTAAGTAAAATAAATTCTATAGATAGACTATTTTATATTTTAGAAGAAAAATAAACTCTATCTATAGAAAAGATATTAGAGCTAATTTATAAAAGAATTATAGTTAAATTATTTATAAAAGTATAATAGTTTACTATTAGTATAAAACTATCTAAAAAGAAAAATAGAAAGAAATAAAAATTAATAAATATAATTATATTAGTCTATAGAAATCTATTACTATTTCTCTCTCTAACTATAAATAGTTTATTTAGTAATCTAGAGTTAGAGTTAAACTAGATTAAAATAATACTATTATCTCTATAGATTAAAAAGATCTAGAAAAAACTATAGATAAGTCTAGTAAAGTTAATTATTTAGATCTAAGAAATAATAAAGAAATTTTTCTAAATTAGAACTATAATATAATATATTATAAGATTTTAAATTATTTTTAATTTATATCTTCTTAAATAGTATTTACTATAGCTATAAATAAAGATCTATTTATAGATAAATCTCTAAGAAAACTAAAAAAATTAATTAAAGAACTCTAAGATAAAGATAAAATAGTCTAGAAGAAGATTAATATAACTTTAGAAAATATTCTATAAAGAAAGTATTAGAGTATTAATTCTAAGAAACTCTTATACTATAAAGGATATTTATATATCTTTATTATAGAGAATCTAAAGTAAAAGTTAATTAAACTCTATTATAATAAATAACTTATAAGTTATTTTAGAAAAATCTATATAGAAGAATTAGTTAAAAAAAAGTTTTACTAAGAATATTTATCTAAGAATATATAAAAATATATTAAAATATATCTAATATACTAGAGAGTTAAAACTCTAAAATATTAACTTTATAGTAAATTTTAATTTCTTCTAATTTCTTATTAACTATTTATAGAACTAAGTATAGACTTTATAATAGAATTTCTAATTATAATCTTTAAAAAATAAAAATATAATATAATTTTAGTAATTATCTACTAATTTATAAAATACTCTTAATTTCTCTCTATATTAATAATAATATCTATAGAAGATCTTACTAAATTCTTTTTTAATTAAATTAAACTTAAATATAGAAATCTAGAAAAAATTATATCTAATTAAAATCCTATCTTTATAAGTAGATTCTAGTTATAATTTTACTACTATTTAAAAATTAAACTATAATTCTCTATAGTATTTTACTCTTAAATTAATAACTAAATAGAAAGATTTAATTAAATTCTAGAAAATTATTTTAAATATTTTATTAATAGAAAGTAATTAAATTAGACTTAATTTCTTAAAATAGTTTAATTTATATATAATAATATTATTAATATATCTACTAATAAAATCTCTTTCTATATACTACTAGAATATAATTATAACTTCTAAATCTAAGTTCTAAAGAAAATATTTAAGAAGAAAATTTTAAATACTAAAGAATAGATAATTTACTTTTAAAATATCTAAAAAAAGATTTTAAAAAGGTTTTAAATTATATAAGAAATATAATAGAAATTATATAATAAAAACTATAAATTAAAAGATTTTAATATTAGAACTTTTATATTTCTTTTAATAAAGAATATTTACTTTAAAGTTAAAGAAAAGAAACTATTTTCTTAATAAATTAGATTTTTCTATATTCTTATAAAAATTAGTATATAGATATACTATATTATACTACTAGAGAAGTACTTAAAATTATATAATATTTTCTCTATCTTTTTTCTTAAACTATAGAATAGTTAAAATAAAGATAATTTACTAATATTAATATCTAAACTTAAAGATAAAGAGAAATAGAAAATTAAAGAGATTTAAGATAAAAAATTATTTAATAGAATTTTATATTACTATATTAAATAGACTAAATAGTCTTTAGAATATAATTAATAAAAATCTATAAAGTACCTAGAAAATATAAAGAATATAATATCTTTATTTAGAAAGAAGTAAATCTAAAAAACTATCTTTTAATAATAATAAAAAGTTATTAGAATCCCTTTAAACTATATCTAAATTAATAAAGAAAAGAAAGAGAAAACTATCCTATCTAACTCTTACTAAATAAAGATATATAGTTATAAAAGAGAAGAATAGATAAGATAAAAAAAAAAAACTACTATAGAAGTAAGTATTAATCTATAAGTACTTTAATATTAGTAACTATAGTTATAATAGTAGAAGTTAAATTAACTCTATCTAAAACTATATTATATTAATATTCTATAGTAATCTTTAAAAAAAAAAGTTTAAATAGTATTCTACTAAAAGATTATAATTAGTATTACTAATTTAGAGTTATAGAAAGTTACTAAAATATTTAGAGAGATAAGTTAGAGATAAATTAGTCTTAGTATTTAATTCCTTCTAATATTTAGTAATAAACCCTATATAATTAACTATAATCTAATTAGTATTTCTTATATTAAAGTATAGATTATATATAGAAAAATAGACTAAGATTATCTTATAAAATAATATTAGAAGATAGAGAGATCCTAATATAGTTACTTCTTTACTTACTATACTCTATATAGGTATAGTATCTCTAGGAACTATAGTAATAGTACTACTAATCTTAACTTTATAAGTCTAGATAAGAATTAACTAAAATTAATATAAATTACTATAGAGTCTATAGAGTAGCTAAAATAGATTAGTATTAAATTAAATATAAATTAGAAAAGTATTATATTTAGAAATAAGTCTTATTTTCCTTCTTATAGAGAGTATAAGTAATTAAATTTATATAATTCTAATTATACTTAATTAAAAGAATAGTATCTATAGGAATATAAAGAGCTACTTCTATAATATACTTTATATAGAATATAAAGAAAGGATAGAGAATTTAATTATAAAGAGAATAAGAACTAAAATTAGTACTTATAATACTCCTAGAGCTAGATCCTCTATCTCTATCTCTATTACTATCTTTAGTTCTATCTCTAGTATAATCTTTACCTTTCTAATAACTTCCCTAACTTATAGTATCTTTAGTACTACTAGAGAGATTAGTAATAGTAGTAGAAATTAGAGTAATAGTAGTAGAAGCTAGAGTAGTAGTAATAGAAGTTAAAGTAATAGTAGCAGAAGTTAGAGTAATAATTAATATAATAAAAAGATATTAAGATAAGAATAATTAGAGAGATAAAGATAAGAGAAGTAAGGATAGAGAGAGTTATAAGAGAAAAGCTTTTATTATAAAGTATTAAAGAGAGTATATTACTTTATTTATATCTATATATAAATATACCTAATTAGGATAGGCTTTAAGGTCTTTAACTAAGAGTAATACTATTATATTTAAATTATTTAATCTAATTCTTATCTTTATTAATAGTTAAACTGACTATCTATAAAAGAGAAGGATAAATTATTATAGGATTTGAAGTATATAGTACCCCAGACATTCGACGTCGATCTGTACTTAAATCCCCTTTGAGCCACCTATATATTAAGGCCCACCCGAACCCTAATATATTTAAGATCCTATAAGTATTCAGGATTCTTAATCTTGTTAAGAATCAGTCTGTGTATCAACTGTCCAATCTGATCTCTACTGTCCGATATCCTTGCCTAGTCACAGGTCTCTAGCCTAACAACTTAGTAACCATTACAAGTAGACTGTAGTATCTAAGAAGAAAACTAGATATAGATCTTATACGAACTTAGAACTTCTGAAATTCTGAGGTTAATCGTACGAGGGAAATTGCTTACAGTCTACTCAAGAAAAAGGGGTTGTAGTCTACTCAGTGGGGTGAATTCTGCCCATACTTAAGAACTTCTGACCGCCATACAGTCTACTAGACTGCACCAGGTCCCTTGGGTTAGGTTAAGGATTTAGCTGTTAGGGTTATAGAGTATAGAGCCAATAAATCAGGATGAAAAACGCCAACACTAAACCAAGATGATAAATTCTTGAAAAGCAATCAGAAGAGGGCGTGGAGTGAAAAAGTAGCGAATCAGAAAAAGGCAGTGGGTTGATGTAGCGAATGAGAAAAAATAACTTGGCTAACAACAGCGAAAAAAATAAAGTTCTCAGAACAGGGGTACCCTCGCCCGCGAAGAATCCCTTTCTCTCAATTCGTTCGTTTCAGGGCACTGGACATTTACCGAAGCCCATATCAGAGGTACGAGAGCTGTGGAATAAAACATTGGTAGATTAGAAGGCTCGATCTAGGTTAAGGGTCTGAACTCCTGAATGAAAGATTGTAATCAGATAATCAGCCGACTCACCACACCCACGATCATTGCTTGATTCCCTTCATTTAAGTAAGCATAAATTCTGAGGTTTACATTTTAGAAATGGAAGAATATCTCGCTTCTCAAAATCGCTGGCCCGTGTCGAAGATCACATGATATTTAGTGGGGGCCAAGAAGGAATCTGCGGGGTACGAGCAACTCTGTCAAGGGCTCCTCTGAGCTTTCAGGTTCACGGGTGAGCAAAGATGTCTTCTATCTCGTTTGCTCATGGCAATTCGGGTAACCAAATCGCGGTCAATTACGGAACCATAGTTCTGCCGTCGAGTAGGTTACAAGTTATTAGCCCCAGATCGAGTGCACTGACATCTTCAGGCTCAGCAGCACAAGATTCATCGATAAACTCTGGTGAGGGCTATGTGCTACAGTATGACACGCTAGTTCTAGGACACTTGTGCTAATAGGCCTCTATATCTATAGTTCACCGCCTCGACATACCCTTCGATCTCACAAACGTACCTGTAATTGAAAACTTTGTCGGGCGGCAAGATGAACTCTACCACCTATGGCAGTATTTCAACCCGATCGATTCCCGATCACGAAAAGTTGCGATAATTCATGGACTTGGTGGAATGGGAAAAACACAACTAGCGGTCCGTTTTGCACGTGAACATAAAGATGATTTCACCGCTATCTTTTGGCTGAGTGGTAAAAATCGAGGCACGTTAGTGCAATCCTTGAGCTCTGTTTGGCCTCGATTACCAGGGAGACTCCAGAAAAGCACGGCTATCAATAACGAAGAGCTAGAGCAAAGAGCTAGAGATGTGTTAGAGTGGCTAAAGCAAGATGGTAATACGCGCTGGTTAATTATTTTCGATAATATTGATCAAGACTCTCGAATCGACAGCGGTGTGCAGAATGCATATGACATCGAAAAGTTCTTTCCTAAAGCAGATCATGGATCTATTCTCATCACCTCTAGGCTTCCAGGGCTTATTGAACTGGGAAGGTCATTCCCTATCCATAAGCTTGAAAAGACAGAGGCCATTCTGCTTCTTCTTAAAAATAGCGGTCTATCAGGAAGCAACACTGTGAAGAACCTTGAGAGCAGGCCAGGTAGGAAGATGCTTTCAGACGAACTTTGAAAATAGTACTAACATATCTAGATACCCTGGCCCTCGCCGACCGTCTTGATGGATTGCCACTGGCCATTGTCATCGCTGCAGCATTTATGCGTCAGACTGGGACTAGTATTACCCAGTACTTAGAATATTACCAACAATCATGGTCTATCCTACAGTCACAATCAAGCCCTGAACGTCAGTACCAGAGAGGCAACATGTTGCAGACGTGGATGATCTCATATTATGAGATCCAGGATCGAGACCCAAATGCAGCAAAGATGCTACTACTACTTGCGCGCTTTGACAATCGAGATATTTGGTATGAGTTGTTAAAAGCTGCTTCGAAAAGCTCAGCTATTCCAGACTGGCTCGAAAAAGCTATATCAAGTGGACTTGCATTCAAACTTGCAGTGAAGCCCCTTGTTGAATTCTCTTTTCTTGAGACTAAGCAAGAACAAGGAAGTTATGCTATGCATCCTGTGGTACAGGATTGGTGCTTCCACGTTGCTAGTGAAGATAGGAATGTGCATTCTACCCAGCTTTCGGAGCTAGCGATAATTTCTGTTGGATACGCTGTTCCCTCTTCAGGTGATAGTAAAGATTTAGAGATTCAGCGACGGCTTCTCCCACACGCAAATGCTTTGTGTGGTGCGCAATACTCTGCTGATTCCTTTTTTATTTGGGGAGGATTTCACGGACTCGGAAATCTCTACTCAGATCAAGGGAGACTGGAAGAGGCAGAAACGCTATACCAGCGAGCACTGGCAGGCAAGGATAAAGTCCTTAGCACAGACCATGCGTCCACTCTCTGTACAGTTCTCAAACTTGGGGATATCTACAGAGAGCAGGGGAAGTTTCAAGAGGCAGAAAGACTCTACCAGCGAGCGCTGGCAGGCTATGAGAAGACCCTAGGTCCAGATCATAAATCTACTCTTGATTCTGTTAACAACTTTGGAAATCTCTTCTATAGTCAAGCAAAGCTAAAAGAGGCAGAAGAGATGTACCAGCAAGCACTAGCAGGTTTTGAGAAGACTCTAGGTCCTGATCATAAGTTTACTCTACCTACAATCAGCAATCTTGGAAATCTCTACTATGATCAAGGGAAGCTCAAAGAGGCAGAAGTGATGTACCAGCGAGCACTGGCAGGCTTTAGGAACACCCTAGGTCCAGATCATACGTCTACTCTTAAAACAGTCAACAACCTTGGCCGTCTCTACTCTGACCAAGGGAAGCTTCAAAAGGCAGAAGAGATGTTTCAGCGCGCACTGGCAGGCTTTGAGAGCACATTGGGTCCAGATCATACGTCTACTCTTGTTACAGTCAACAATCTTGGGAATCTCTACTTTGATCAACGGAAGCTGAAAAATGCTGAAAAGCTATACCAACAAGCTATGGCAGGCTATAAGAAGACTCTTGGTCTAGATCATACATCTACTCTCAGTACAGTCAATAACCTTGGTCGTCTTTACTATGAGCAAGGGATGCTGAAAGAAGCAGAAGAGATATACTTAGAAGTTTTTTCAGGATGCAAGAAGGCCCTTGGTCTAGATCACATATCGACCCTTATTGCTGTCAATAACCTTGGCCTTCTCTACAAAGATCAAGGGAAACTAGAAGAGGCAGAAGAGATGTACCAGCTAGGACTGACAGGCTGGGAAAAAGCCATTGGTCCAGATCATACGCTCACTCTTGATATTATGAACAGACTTGGTCTTCTCTTCACATATCAGGGCAAGCTTAAAGATGCCGAAGAGATGTTCCAGCGAGCACTGGCAGGCTATGAGAAGGCCATTGGTCCAGATCACGATATAACCCGCCAAATTGCAGAAAGATTAACTACACTAGGCATTTCAGAGTAGTGCTAAGTGAAAAGAGAGTGTTCCATTTCTATACATTTTTAAAACAAGCCTTTGCAACATATAACTCAGAAAGCGACTCGCCACTAGCAACGTGCAGAATATCTAAAAACACCCGCACCTCCAATTTCCTGATCATATCGTAAATGATGACCCGACGCATGTTGTGATCTGAATTTTTTGATAGCTGCATATCACGGCAAATTTATCTGTAATACAAAAGCTTTTTGAAGTCCACAGTTTTAGCTCTTGTGATTAGACCTCGGATCGAGTCGCGACTTTCTAGGTCCGGTCCAGGTTTAGAACCGCCAAGACCGGTTCTGGTTCCAACTCTTTGAGGTCGCGATCCGGTTCCAACTTCTTTAGAACCGGACCTCTAGGTCCGGTTCGAACCTGTAGGTTCTTCAAATAGTGCAAAATCGGGGAACCTTGTGATATACATTAATTATGTAGTTTTGCTCTGTATATTTGAGTATTTATCTTATATTAAGTAGAAAGTTACCTTCTACAATAAGCAGGATCTAGGTTAAAAATACGTTAAAACTAATCTCTTAAGTATCTAGAACTTATTTACTGTCTGATTTTGTTTGATTTTATAAAGGAAGTAGTTAAACTACTTAGCTAAAAGAGCCTATTTGCAAGGATAAGGATCAAAACCTCAATAAATAATAGTATAAAACTAAGATAAATCAGTAAATTATCTATCTGAAATAGGAAGTGTCTTAGTAGGATTATATAATTCAGGTTTCTACAGGTGTAAACCGGACCGGACCTAAGATTTCTAGGTCCGGTTCAGGTTCCAGATTTTTGGAATCTGGAAACCTCAGGTCCGGTTCCAGGTTCCAATTCTTTGAACTGGAGTCGGACTACACCGAGGTCTACTTGTGATGAGGTGAGTCTGTTACTGCGGAGTATCACAACAAACATGAGCTTTTGGGATCAATAATCGAGCCTTCGGGCTATCCTGGAGTGGATTAGGGGGGTTTGTTGAGTTAGCATATCGTGATTGTGAAGGTAGTATCTTTGGAATTGTAAAAATGCATGGTAAGATAATGTCGATTGAAGTGGAGAATACGTTACTGCCAGTAGACCTATACATGGGCCGGCCTATGGGTTTTCTTGGCGGTCTATAGGCTGGCCTATTTGGCCCATTTGGCCCCCAAATTGTGAGGACTCAAATATTGGAATATTGTAGTATTTTGACGAAAAAGTAATAAAACTAGAAGAGAAGAAGAGAGAGAGAGTGTCACAGGGCTCGTGTCAAAGAGGGTGAGCTTCTGTGAGAAGTAACTAACTCTCTTTATATTCCCTGTAGTAACCCGATCTTGTCTTAGCTATACTAAGGGTTTATGTCTGATTTAATACCGATTTGGTACCGATTTATATCTGATTTATATAATAGTCAGATTAAATAACTTAATGTAGTGTTTCCTTTATTCTTAAAGTTTCTTCAAGAATTAGTCTCTGTTACTATTTATATATATTATTAGTTAATTCTCCTACTCCTTAATTACTATCTAAAGTCTTACCTAGTTATAGATCTCTAGTCTATCTCTTAGATTACTATTATAATTCTAATTTTTTTTTTAACTATCTAAGATTAAAGATAGCTCTCTCTACCTACTAGAATTCTACTTTTAAATCTAGTAAACTCTACTCTAAGTATATAGACTTAATTTACTCTATTTTTAATATTAATTTAGGATAGATTTAAATTAAAGAAGTAGTTAAGAAAGAATCTAGTTTAGATTCTACTAAGATTAATTTAAATCTAAACTAAGAAAATTCTATTACTAAATTCTTATCTTCTAACTAGAGGGAAAATAATTTTAAATACTCTATTAAAGAGTAAATTTAAAATTAGTTTATATAGTAGTAAAAATTAAATAAGTTTCTTAAGTTTAAGAAATATATCTAAGAACTTTAAGAATAGCTTTATAAGAAAGTTACTTCTAAGTAAAAAATATTCTTATACTCTAAACTAACTAAAATTAAGAAAATTAAAATTTCTAATTTTATTACTAAATTTATCTACTAAGAGTAATACTCTTAGATTAATACTCTTTTAGTAACTTTTTAGAAAGTTTTTTATATTTATTATTCTAAAAATACTAAGATTACTAAGAATATCTATTACTTAGAATCTTTACTCTAAAATTAATAGATTACTTTTAGTATTAAAGATTCTATAAATTCTATAATAACTATATAGAAAAGATTTTTAATATAGACTATTAATATTATTTTTTAATTAGATAATTTTAAAATAGATACTATTTTTAAATATAATAAATTTTAATAAAGATACTATTTTTAAATATAATAAATTTTAATAAAGAAATAATAAAAGTTTAATTTAGTTTTATTTTTATCTTTTAGAATATAAGAAATATATAGAATAAATATCTAAAAAGAAAAAAAAGAATTAATTTTAATCTAAATTAGATAAATTATTAGTAAGAAAAATTTTATTAATTTATAAATTAAGTTAAATTTTCTTAATCTAAAATAGTTAAATTAATAAAATAGAATATTAATAGAGAATTAAAAAAAAAAAAAATTTATTTATTTAGAAATAGTCTCTAATTAACTCTAAATTAGAGTTAAAATAATAACTTTTTTTAAAATAACTAAAATAAAACTAAAAATAAATAACTAAAATAAAATAATTTAAGATTAAATTAGAAGTAAAATAAGACTAAAAGATAGTTAAAGAATACTAATAAGTCTTTTTAACTTTCTAATACTAATAAAAAATATTTTTCTAAGACTTACTAAAAATATAATTCTAAGAATTATATAAAGTTAGACTATCTAAAATTTAAAGATAATAAAGTAAAAATCTAAGAAACTAAGAAAACTAAAGATAATTTTCTAAAAAATAGTAGAAAAAGATAATAAATTAAATTAGATTTTATAGATTTAGATTTATAGTCTTAAATAGAAATCTAAGAATTAAAAAATTTCTAGTTATTCTTTTTAATATAATACTAATTAATTATAAAATTATATTAGTTCTATAAAAGAACTATTAGTAATTTAAAACTAAAAAATTAAATATTAAAATATTAACTATATTATACTTTATAAAAGTATATAGAAATAAAACTTATATTTTTATAGTACTAAAAATACTAGAAAATAATTTAGTTCTTCTAAATAAAGATAAATCTAAAATTATATCTCTAAGAAAGAAAACTAATTATAAGATTAGTCTTAAAGAAAGTAGTATATTTTTTTTTTAGATTTATTTACTTTTTTTTTAAAATAGAATTAAAAGTTCTCTAAGAATACTTTAATAAGAATCTAGAAAATAAAAGAATTTATCTATTAAAAAATTCTATAGAAATACCTATTCTTTTTATACTAAAGAAAAATAGAGATTTAAGACTATATATTAACTATTAAAGATTAAATAAAATTTTAATTAAGAATTAATATCTATTATCTTTTATTTTAGAGATTTTTAACTATCTTATAAGTACTTAGTACTTTAGTAAAGTAGATATCTAAAATATATACTATTATATCTAAATTAAAAAAAAAAAAATAGAAAACTATATTTTATACTTAGTATAGATATTTTAAATATATAGTAATATCTTTTAGATTTATTAATACTCTAACTATATTTTAGAACTATATCTATATAATACTCTATAGATTACTTAATATTACTTATATTATCTATTTAAATAATATTTTAATTTTCTCTAAAATTTATAATTAGTATATAAAATATATCTAATAAGTTCTTAAATAACTTTAAAATACCTAACTATTTACTAAAGTATCTAAGTATATCTTTTACTAGATAGAAGTTAAATTTCTTAGTTTTATTATTATGAATATTATACTATAAAACCCTATAACAAAATACGCCAAAGCTCCGGCTATAACAACCGATAGATGACACCTAAGTGGCACCCGTGCCGACAGCTAAGCAGCACCCATGCCGATGGCCGAGCAGCACCTATACCGATGGCCGAGCGGCACCTATGAATATTACAAATATTACCGTTGCCTAGGCTATACAAGCCTTAGAGAGCGGATGTAACTATGCCAGTGCCCCGAGTGCAACTATGCCGGTGCCCCGGGGGTTACTGTGCCAGTGCTCGGGGGTTACCGTGCCAGTGCCCCGGGTGTAACTATGCCAGTGCCCCGGGTGTAACTATGCCGGTGCCCCAGGGGTTACTGTGCCAGTGGCCCGGGTGTAACTATGCCGGTGCCCCGGGTGTAACTATGCCGGTGCCCTGGGGGTTACTGTGCCAGTGCTCCGGGTGTAACTATGCTAGTGCCCCGGATGTAACTATGCCGGTGCTACTGCTACCATACTTAGCAATATTGCCTAAGCCAGCTAAATATATATATAACCTTCTCCCCCCATACACAACACAGAACAAGACAATCAAGACAATCAAGACAATCAAGACAAGCAAGACAATCAATACAATATCAGCAAACATTGCAAACACCAATCTTCTTTATCAAACAAGCTAAACACCTTCTTCTTCTTCATCCAACCTTCCCTAAGCCTATTGAGACATACAAAGTCTCAGAGGTTATGAGCCCGGATTGCTTTATATCTGGCTTATACTACCACCACTTCTTTATCTTCTTTCATCTGATCTTTTAGGGTTTAGAAACCCTAAACCCTAAAACCCTAAACCCTAGGGTTATATCAAAAATATCAAAAACATCAAAAATATCGAAAATATCGAAAAATGTCAAATCTTCCAAAAATTGAGGTGCCTAAGCTCTTAGGTATTGAAAACTATACTACATGGTCAATTAGGGCTTATGCCTTATTGATTAAGGAAGATCTAGGGTTTGATACCCTAGACCCTGATGGGACAATATCAGATGAAACCAATATCACCCCTGCTAAGAACAGGAAGGCACTAGCTATTATTAAGCTACTATGTGATGATAATCCTCTATTATATATAAAGGATGAAACTAGTGCTATTCAGGCATGGAATACCCTAAAGGAGTTATTCAAC